GTCAGGAGGGGGGGCCGGGTGTGCTGAGGAGTGGGGGCGCGTCGGACCGCGATTTGAGGCGAGTGCTTGCGCGCTGCGATGCGAGCAGGCTGGTGGGGGGTTGCAGGAAGGGGGAAGGGGGTGCAAGGAAGCCGAGCATTCCATGAAGGGGCTGGGTCTGCGGGACACTGATGCGGGGCAGCTGTGGGGGAGCTGCCTCGAGCTGGGCCGCGCAGGTGGCACAGCCACACACACAGCGGTGACCGCCGCCCGAGGGCTGGTGCGGGCCGTGTCGCACCTTACAAGTGGCAACACTGAGTCCGGGCGGAAGCGCTGCTGCTGGTGCTGCGGCTGCGGCTGCAGCGGCAGAGAGCCGGCGGCGTTGAGGCCATAGACCGTCACACCGCGCGCCGCAAGCGCTGCCGCTGCAAGCGCCCCTGGCTGCTCGTCGCCCATTTCCTGTAAAGAAGCGGCCAATACAATGCTGCGACGCCGATGACGCATGGGTATGGCGCATATTGAGCCATTGCACGCTTGCTGCTGCGTGATCACTGCTGGCCGCTGCGCTCTGGCCCCCGAGGTGGCAGCACTTGTCTTTTTCATCATCGAGCTCATATGCTCCAAGAAACCGCAGGCAGCGGAGCAAGGTTGAGTGGTGGTGAACTGGTGATTTCGGCGGCAACGGCCCGCTTTGCCGCTGTATAGACAACAAACTTATGCGAGCGATAAAGTCGCGATTGTAATAATGCAACGCACTGATGGCATCGTGCACAGCCAACGATAAACTCGGCGCAGAAGACGCGTGGCATGAGTCGGCGCTGCGAGGTCAGCGTGCTGAAACTCGACAAGCGGTGATGACAGCATTGGCACTATCAGCGGTGTGAAAAAATGCCAGAAGTGATCTTTGCTTAACACCTCTCATATGCTCTGGCGCTGCGGCTCATATTTGGTTGGGCGTGAGACATTGTGGGCGCGATGCGCGGACGCGCTGGGTCCTGGGAACTGCAGCATGCAGCGCAACCACACGGCACACATGCAATGCTGAATGTGGCAGCCTCATGATGGTTTAAAAGTGGCTTACACTAGTCAGACAGAAAGGCATACTTGCCACCGCTTGCAAGCTCGGACGTAATTACACATGTCAGGAGAAGCGCACACGCGCGTGCCCTGAGGTGTCTGGCGGTTACCTCTGGTGTTGCAACCTCGAATGACTAAGCAAAGGCAGCGGCACCTGCGCAGACTGCGGCAGGCGGCGCAGCCTCGCAATAGCAAGGCCTCTGCGGCGCCGCACAAGCCAAGTGCGATGCCTCACTGCATCTCACAATATTGTTGCCTGCCAGCAGCTCGTGCGCATAAACCACATGGGTGACACACACATGGATGACCATGAATGCTAACGAGAACGTAGGCCTGCGAGTCTCCGAGAGCCCCACGCCACGCCAGCTGTAATAGCCTGCAGCAGAGGCTACCTCCCGGGCTTGGTATGATCGGGCACGCGCCTCGCCCCCGGCGTGTGATGACTTGACTGTCACGGTTGGTCGACCAGCGCAGGCGCGACCGCACTTGCTGCGCATGCGCACTCCGCACTGTTAATGGATTAATACAATGGATGCTATGATACCGATGGGCCGTGTCGCCTGCGATGCCATCATTTGCTGAGCTGGAGTCCTTGCGACACTTCAGAAAGCCCCCATGTGTGGCGGGTGGGTGTGCCCTTGCCAACCCCAAAGCCCGCGCCGTAGACCACACGCACCACAATAACACAACAAAAATGCACCGCGCAGCTTGATGCATCGGGATGCAGCGCGTCCAGAGCACAGAGCCGTCAGACCTTGAAGCCTGTGTCGTTGACTGATCTGATCTTGGCGTGCAGCGCGCTCGCGTCAGATTGCAGGCGCCGCACCTCGCCCTCCTGCCGCGCCATCTCGTCCTGCGTGTACGCGGTTTACATTACGGTCGCGTGCGGTGTGTGTGTGTGTGTGTGCTTGTATGTGTGTATGTGTGAGAGTGTGTGTGTGTGAGTGCGCGCTCGCGCGCATGCGTGCGTGCGTGCATGCGTGCCTGCGTGCGTGCCTGCGTGCGAGAATGCGCGGGCGGGCGAGCTCTGACGCACACAACAGACTTTAGGCGAACTTTAAGCTTCTCAGCTTTCGTAATACACAGCTTACCCGCCGGCTTGCAATTTCTGGAGAGGGGAGCCGTTGGGGTGGCTAGCGCCCCTAAGCAACCCGCCCGGACCTCTTTTAGGCCGCAGCTGCACCAGGCATTCGCCCCTGCACACACTCTTCAGGTTGGTGCCGCCCGCTTGGCAGCAGCCCCTGCCCCCACAAAGATGCGCACGTGCCTCAAGCATGTAAGAATCGCACCTTCATAACCAGCGCCCCCCGCCTGATCTGGTGCAGCCCCCGCGAGATCTGATCTAAGATCTGATCCTGCGCCACCGTCTCCGCATCAATGGCACCTGCCTCCTCAGCAAAGCCAGCCTTGGCCAGCCCTGAGACGTCGACCGTCGGGCAGCTGCTGCTGGCCGGGCCCTGTCCATCCCCGCAAGCCGCAGCCGACGGTGCGTGGACCGCAGGCGGCGTGCGGCCAGGGTTAGCGCCACGCTCCTTGCTGCAGGGCTGCGCAGCCGCCGCCGCCGCGGCGCCACCGGTGGTTGTGGCCGCCCTGCGAGCCGCATATGTGGGCGTGTCAGCAGCGACGCGTGCAGCACCGTGGGGCGAAACCACCCTCCCTCCCTCCCTCCGCCAAATCACTGACAAAACACAGTAGGGAGACTGTAGTTGGCTGTGTCTGCGCAGCAGAATTTGAAGCAGTTTTCACGCCAGCTTGGCGTGCAGCAAAGCTCACTCAGCCACGCAGGCCCGCCCCCGTGGGCGCGCGCGCGCCCCCACCCGCGCCGCCAGTGGAAGTCGTCCGTGCGCCGCTCCGGCTCCGTGAAGCGCGCGCAGCAGAAGGAGGCGCAGCATGAGCGCCGCATGAAGGCGAGGGCGCGCTGGGAGTAGGTGACGTCAGCGCCGATCTGTCGGGTTGCATGTTGTGTTTGGCCACGTGAATGCCGGAGGCGCGCCGTCTGAGCGCGAGTGGAGGGGGGCAGCAAAGCAGAGGACCGCCCGCCATGGCCGCAAGTTTTTTTTACTGGCGCGGCGGCGCGACAGCGTGGCGCGCAGCCTGGCGGCCGCTTGTCGATAGGTTGCCTCTTATTCCGGCAGCTCCATCAACAGGATTTAGCATGCACAGAGCCCGAGTGCGTGGCGGGCGCGCTGTGCCGCCGCCAACGCGCACTTTGTCCATCCCGGCTGTGATCCGCTCCATTTGGTACCCCTGGTCTCGCAGCGCCGCCGCGGTCGAGGCCGCCAGGTCCGAGGCCTGCTCCATGGCGCGCAGCGCGCGCTGCGCCGACGCGGTCGTGTCCTTGTGCTGCTGCGCGGCCTGCTGAAGAATATGCTTGCTGTCTACGCATTTGAGGTCCCCTTTTTGGAGGTCGCCCTTCATCTCCATCAGGCTGGGGCGACTGTGTTCCTGGGCAAAGAGCTCCGCCCGTGGCCCCTCTCCGAGAGGAACACTGACGCCATATTTCATGCGTGTGCGATGATTTTGGGCCATTTTAAGTGGAAAGGAAGGGGACAAGTGGTCGAGTGCAGTGTGAGAGGCGGGGAGTTGCGTGAAGAGGCAGCAGGATTTTGATGTTTATTGAGATAAACTTGGCTCTATAATACGTATTAGCATTTATTGTGCACATGAAGCCACGATGGCCTCGTTTTGCGCCGGCGGGTTCAGAAAAGAACCGTTGATTTAGGAGTCAGAAGCCTGTCCATGAGGGAGGGCCTAAATAGCAGGCAGAGGGCCTAAATAGCAGGCAGATCGTCATAAATATCGGATTCAAGAGGTGCGGTGCCACGCGATTTCAAGCCACGCGTTGCCACCCAATTTGCGTTCTGCAGTGGTGCTTTCCCCGGCGCATGCCTGCTGGTGAGCCCAGTCCGGTCCACGGGGACGCAGCAGCGGCAGCCGATGGACCGTGGCGCACGCGCACGCCGAGGGACGGCACGCAGGTGGCACGCACCCCGCGCAGGGACAGTCATGCCGGGCAGCCCAGACCCTAGGTGTGCGCCGCCCTGGCTGGGGAGCCAGTGGCGGCGCGCGCTGCCGTCTCGTACTCTGCTATCAGGTTCATTTACAGCGGGGGCGAGCGCAAGCCTGTTTGCACGCACGCACAAGGGCAGACGGCCCTGCCCGCCCGAAAAGCCGCGTGAAACCGCGATCGCAGCGCGCACACAAGAAGCCGGTGCCGCTGGATTACAAACACACGAGTACAGAAACGCAATCAAACGCCGGGCTGCCGCCCTGGCTTCATGCAAGGTGAGCATCCCGCAAAACCCAAGCCGGGCTCAAGTGTTGGGGTGCGCGTGTGCGTGCATACATGCAGGTCTGGGGTCTGCTGGTCAAAGTCAAAGTTCGAGGTGCGAGCAAAGTGTCGGCGCGCTGCTTGCGGGCGCGCGGCAGGAACGCGCGTGGGCGGCAGCGAGGTCGCGGGGAGGGAGGACGGGGGCCCGGCAGCGCGCGTCTCCGCCGCGGCCGCCGCGCTCGAACGGCGCAGCGCATGCCTGCGGCCGCCCCAGCCGGTGGCGAGGGAGCCACATAAACATCATTGGGCCCGGCCATCGGGGAAGAATGGGGGGGGGGGGGTGTGGTCGCGGGAGGCTTCGCCGGGGGGCATTCGCACTCGCCCCCACCGCGTCGCGCGGCACCCGCGGGCCCCCCGCGGCCGGCCGCGCGGCGGCTGCGGCCCCCACGGGCGCAGTCACGGCCAGGGCGCGGGGCGCGGGGCCGGGGGTCTGCCCCTTTGAATCCTTGCGGCCGCGTCATGCTGCGTCTGCGGGCTCTTCGTAGCCCTCCAGGTCGAATGTGAAGGTGCGGCTGCAGCACTGGTCGGCGTCCCTGGTCACACCCACCAGGGCGTCGGCCTTTGGGGGGTGGGTGCCGAGAGGGGGGGG